CCCCAAAACCCCAAAACCCCAAAACCCCAAAACCCCATAATTATAACTTGGTATAGAATAAATAATGGATGATCTTAATGATAAAAAACAGGCCATCATGGATGACCTTGAAGCTGCCAATGACCTTACTGATGCTGCTGAGGACCTCTACGCTCAGTTCAACTTTAAGAAAGCACTTGATTATTATCACAACGGGCTTGAGATCCTGATGAGCATCAAGAAAAGAACCAAGGATGATAAGAAATTCAACTCAAAAATGAGAAAGAGGATCGAAGAGGTCCTTACAAGAGCAGAGACTTGTAAAAAGCAAATCAAAATGGCTAAGAAGGGTAAGAAGAAAGCAGGCATTATTGATCTTGAAGAGGACACTAGGCTAGTTGACCATTTTAACCAAATGGCATTTGGAGGTGGAGGTATGACCGAAGCTGAAAGACAAGAGAAGGAAGCCATGACTTCTATCCATAGTATTTACAACTCTAGAGGTTTCTCAAAGCCCGACAAGCCTGGTACTACTAAAGATACTGAGGATGAGATTGAAGAAGCAAAGACTTCAAAGAAGAAAAAGAAGTATAAAATAAACTCAGATTTAATGGAGCAATTAGAAGAAAATATTATTCCTTCCGGACAATCTGGAGTGACTTGGGATGATATCAAAGGACTTTCTGACGTTAAGAAAACATTGCAAGAGACTATTATTTATCCACAAAAACGTCCAGACCTCTTTGAGGGAATCAGAGCACCTGCCAAAGGCATCCTTTTCTATGGACCTCCTGGAAATGGAAAAACAATGTTAGCAAAAGCAGTTGCCTCTGAGTGAGACTGTACTTTCATCAACATTAGTGCAGCATCTTTGATGTCAAGATATCTTGGTGAAGGTGAGAAATTGATGAGAGGGCTTTTCCAAATAGCAGCAGATAGAGCACCTTCAGTTATCTTCTTTGATGAAATAGATTCCTTGCTCGGCTCAAGATCATCTAGTGAGCATGAAGCAAGCAGAAGGATGAAAACAGAATTTTTGGTACAGCTTGATGGAGTTGGCTCAAGTACTGAAAGTATCCTTGTTTTGGCAGCAACTAATCGTCCCTTTGATCTAGATTCAGCTGCTTTGAGAAGACTTCCAAAGAGAATCCTGATCGGGCTTCCTGACGAAGAGGTTATTGAGTCAATGCTTCGTAATTATATGCAAAAGATAGACTGTGATTTCGAGAATGATGATTCTCAAATAGAAGAGATTGCAGATATGCTAAATGGTCTCAGTGCAGGAGACATCAAATCTGTGATCCAATCAGCAGCTATGGCCCCTATCAATGAGATAGAAGGTGATAAGTTCATGTCAGTTAAAAAGGAAGACTTAAGACAACTAACCATTGATGATTTTAAACAAGCCTTTGAGGAATTCATCCCATCTTATGACGCTCTTGCTTCATTCAAAGAGTATCAAAAATGGGGCAGAGAAGCTGAAAAATAGTAATTTTGAGAATACTTCGTTCACTCAATATTGTTGGGATATATTGGGGTTTTGGGGTTTTGGGGTTTTGGGGTTTTGGGG